TTTACTTCTATTTTTTTTTTAAATTGTTACACACTAGTTGAAAGATTAACATAACATTATCAGTCAATATTTTGAGTCGAATGGAAGGTTTTCAGACAAGTTGTAGTCCATAGTCGAAGAGTGGAAAGGTAATCCGTAATCCCCATTGATGAGTACCCTATCACTCATTGAGTGATAATAAGATGGAATACTCATCAGTCAATTGATTGGGAACTCTGGAAAATGCTTGATGACTGTAGAAATCCGCTGTGGATGAACTGAATCATTTGAGCGAAATGTCGACGATTTAAAAGTTAGCTTCAAGTCCAAGAACGTTTCTCCATTTCGAGAAGAGATTGGTTCTGATATTCGAAACACAATCCGCTGACTATGGCCCTTTTTCACTTTCTTATCGATGATAAGGCGTTGATTGGTAATGTTTAAAGAAGAGGCCGTTGTTGTCTATTTATCAGAAGATAGTTTAATGACATTTAAACGATACTGTTTCATCATCTGTTGATATTGCATTATGTATTGTTACTATCATAAATTCTTCGAAAGTGATCAATTGACTGATGGTTGTTATTCGATTGATATGTTTATGTGAAATAAACGAAACTGTTTTGCTGCTGAATTTACTTCAATTGCATCGTCATATTTGTTATGAAGTGAAAATTAGTAGCGATGTTACTGTGGAGATAATCGGTTTATGTTTATTTGTTCACCTGAAAAGTATACGAATTATTCTTCGATTTCAATTCAGTTTATCCAAATCATCATAATGACGCATAATTCGAGCAGTAAACGGTTCACCAATGATTTTGGCCTTTACGAAATAACACTTTTTGTTTGCACTCAACTCGGTTACATACCGATCGTTAGCAGTATGTTGGCAACTAATTTTTTTGAACCTGAACAGGTTAATATTTCTTGCTTGATTTGTCTTTGGTTCACTTCAATCAGATATTCGATCAATCAGCAATTTATTTATCCATCTCATCGATGAATTTCTTGAATAAGTAGGTGTAGACGTTTTGTTGATGGAACGACTGGGGACAATGTAAATCGAAATTCGGAATGAACCAATGAATTCTGGCCATCATAAATACAGTACCATCCATTTCAATAATGTTTTACGCTCGTTCGATGGCTTCAGTTAGAGGCAGTCTGAATTAAAGAACGATCATTTCTCCCATTCAACAGTTGGGGAATCGACCAGAGAATAGAGGCAAAATTGAGAATTAACATCGTTTTCTGAATTCTGAATGAGATTGAATTTGCCGCTTTCATTTATCATCTTTTTTTTATAAACTCTTCAATGTTTAAATGATTAAAATTCATGAAAAAATAATTGTGAAACATTTGAGGGGCTATGCTCAAATGAAACTTTCTTCGATGAGTATCAACATCGTCAGTTTCATTTCGTTTCATTATTGGTCGACTGGAACATCGGTTGTTCAAAGAATTTGGTTGTTTGGATATTTTCATTAACTGATATCATTTCAACATCGTTAATGTGTGGTGCTCTTTTGGGCGCCTTCTTGAGTGGATTCCTTGCTGATCGATATGGACGAAAACCAATTGTTGTCGGTAATATCAATTATTATTATTCTGTATTATTGATGTTAGTATTATTCGTGATCTTGTGATTGAGAATTCTGCAGTTTAGGCGAATTCAAGAAAGAATGCGGCCTATCACTACCTAATATACATCACTCGGCCCAATGATCAAAACAATGTACCATAGTTTTCTACACATGTTTACATCTGCTTTTTTGAACAAGGTGAAATACTTCAGTTGGAAGTAAACGCATTCGGGCATTTGACCATGCTCACAACAAATTCTGATGAATGCAACGAACAACTCGATCATCTTACAGCACTGAACACAGTTTGTAATGATATACCGATTGCACTCATCAATATTTTTCCAAATAAAATTTCTTAGACCAGCCATCGGCAACCCCGGCCCGTGGGCCAAAATTGGCCCGCCGACAATAATATTTGGCCCGCCAGATGAATTTGAGAATTTGATTTTAAAGGGGTAAAAAAGAAAAGAAAAAGGTTTTAAATTATTTAGCTATTGCACTGAAGATTTCCGACACACAATTTCCTAATAGACAACTAACTGTGTCGTCGACACAAGCCCTGACCGCGAGAGTGATTCGTGAACGACTTCTTCGTTTAACAAAACTCCTTTTTTCCGTAATTTGCTCGATCAACTTAATGCAAAACACAACGCTTTTGCATCAACAGGACACTTCGCATTCAGTTTTTCTTTAATAGTAATTAGGATAATCTAGTGCTTATGAAAATGATACATGTTATAAGAAATGTTTCATTACCAACCGGATCGACTTTCGGTTGGTAGTAATGCCAAGTAATCTTAATCCGGGATATTGTTAACTTT